GGGCGTGGGATGTGGTGGTTGGTGTTGTTTTGTGGGGGGGGGGCCTGGTATTGTGTGTCACAGTGTGTGTTCTAGGAGAAAGACTAAGGGGATGGGGTTACTTATCCCCACCTGATCTCTGTTTATCATTTAAGTGACCTCTGTCAGGGCCAGAACAGTGCAGGCATGCTTGATGAGTAGCCCCTGCTGGCGTAAAAGTCCTCTCCGTCCATTCCGCCAGTCAGCGCTGGAGGATTTTTTTACAGTCTGCAGAAGAGGAAAAAAAAAAGTGTGAGGTTCAACCCCAATTCATACCAGACCTATTAGGTCTGGTAGGAATGTTAGGAGGGACCCCCCCCAAATTAAAACAAAAAAAGTGCGTGGGGGCCCTTTAGGTCTGGTAGGAAGTTTAAGGGGGAACCCCAGCCCCCAAAAATGGGGGGGAAACATGGGGCCCCCCCTAACATTCCTACCAGACCCTTGATCTCCCCCCCCCTCCCTGCGCATTACCAGGCCACGTGCATTGGGAGGGTGTCCCCATGCCGATGGGGACAAGGGCCTCTTCTTCACAACCCTGACCCGGTGGGTGCCACTTTAATTAAAGGGGTACCCCAAAGCAAATAAGCCCCCTTGCCTGCAGACCCCCACAACCACCGGGTCAGAGTTGTGGGGAAGAGGCCCTTGTCCCCAACGGCATGGGGACAGCCTTCCAATGCCAAAGGCACGTGGCCTGGTAAGGTGCAGGGGGGGCGCTCAATCGTGCTGCCGGGCCAGTGCTCGGATCAAGGGTCTGGTAGGAATGTTAGGGGGGACCCCATGTTTTTTCCCCATTTTTTGGGACTGTGGTTCCCCCTTAAAATTCCTACCAGACCTAAAGAACCTGGTATGAATTGGGGGGAACCTCACACTTTTTTTCTTCCTCTTCTGCAGACTAAAAAAAAATATTTTCTAAGGTCATTTTGCTGCAACGAAATTTCGTCCAACAAACAAATTTCGGAATCGGAAATTCGGATTTGTTTGCATCAGTTATAACTGAAATTCGGATACATCCGAATGTCCGAATTTCGGAAATTTCGTCCGAATTTCGATTCGGAACGAATTGCACATGTCTAGTTGGTTCTATGCAACTGTGCATAGGGTAGGGTACACAAGGGAATGTAGCCCACCACACTACAATCCACACTATAGAGACATTATCTGCATAATGCACCAAAAAACGTGCATCCCCCATTTCTGACAGTGCACCAAAACACGTCCATCAGCAAGGTGCATTGGCATGCACAATAGTATAAATGGGCACTCAAGAAAACTGTAGTGGCAGTTACTAAGCAAAAGGGGAACATATTCATATATTAGAGATATAGCACCAGTAAGTATTAGTTTTATACATTTTAATATGTTTATCTCACAAAGTGGTGTCACTTTAACACTATAACAACACCTTATGTTACATTTTCCATGTGACCCTTTATCTCACAGAACTGGATTGCAATTTTTTTTCTATGTATAGTTCAACTTGTGACAGGTTACCTGGAGTCAGCTTTCACTTGTCAACTGTAGTTGACCCTGGGGCAAAATACACTCTTTCTCTTATAAGTTTAATGAAGTAATAAGAAAACAAAAAATGGTATGTATTTTTTCTTTTTAGTTTTTTATGAAGGTTAGAGGTCAAAAAACATGTTAGCTGCATATTTATGCCTGGGACCCATCTCATCTAACTAATGTCAGCAAGTGTGCCACAATACTAAGGGCTATTCACAAAAGGGTGAAGAGTTTGGGGAAAGCAGAAGAAGAGAACAATCTAGGACAACATAGCTGATTTGGAAAAACTCTCTAGTTCAGCTCACTTTCCAGTTCAGCTATTTCAAAGGATACATCCATAAGAGAGATTATGTTTACACAGGACAGGAGACTTAGTTCCTCAAACTTTATATTCTTTGCTGAAAGCAAAAACAAAAAAAGAACACACATAAATTGGTATAACTAATTTTAAATAACAAAGAAAATAAGCCAATGCAATCAAACAAAGAAAATGTAAATATTTAGTAATATATATAATATTTGTTTCCTTAAGGACACACATAACATACTACAAACAGGGGAAACTAAGATGCTGCATATTTTGTCTGATTATGAAGAATTACTGTAAAGCATGACTTTTAACAGTTAATTAACAGAGTCTGCTATACCACTCAAATGTTATCTATATAAAAAGACACAATGGGGGGAATTTATCAAAACTGGAGCAGACAGAATTTGCAGCAGTTGCTCATGGTAACCAATCAGCTTCTCTCATTAGTTTGTCAAGTTAAGTTTTTAAAATTAGAGAGAAGCTGAGTGGTTACAACAGGCATCTGCTCTAGATACTGTCTGCTCCAGTTTTGATAAATTCCCCTCATTGTATTTTTTAATAAAAAATAAGTTTAAAAAAAACATTTTTAATATTTGCATTTACAGTTTATTGGAGATGGTGTGGAGCTTGTAGATACCTTAATGTAAAATGGTATACGTTTTCTTGTAGTGTCAAGCATATTTCTGCAGTGTATTTCAGGTACCTGAAAATACACTAGGGGGAATAAAAAAAAAGCTGGAGCAGACAAAATCTAGAGCAGTTGCGCACAGCAACCAAACAGCTTCTAATGTCAATTTCAAAGCTCAACTGAACAAACTGAAGACAAAAGCTGATTAGTTGCCATAAGAAAACTGCTCCAGTTTTCATGAATTCCCCCCATTGTAGTTTTCCTTTTATTATTAATGTGTACATTTATGCAGAATTGTGATTTTGTTTGCACAAATGTATGTTCGCTAACAATTTTTTTTTGCATGTTAATTTTTTATTGCAGAGGAAAGTACAGTACAATGTGTATACGGTATCAAAGTACAATGTATAAAACAGATGTAAAACAATACTAATAGATTTGTAAAACCAGTCATGACAATCTCTAGCGATATAAAGCACACATAGCCATGTGTGCTACAGAGGCCTATAAATGACGAATATCAAGTAACTGTCAAATAACACACCGATGTCTTAAGAGCAACATCAATGAGGGCAACAAGGTCGACATTTAGTGTTGGAAGGTGGAGTAACCTTTGATTCATGCGGTCAGGAGGACGGAGAGAGAGCAGTTGTTGGGCAAAAGAAAAGCAGTGTTGGGATGGGGATTCGATTCAATCATTCAAGTGGGGGAAATATGTCTGAATAAATGGGAGTAAGTGTGAATGTGGGCAGCATCACAGGACATCGAGTTTGCCTAGTGTGTTAGTGAGTTTGGCAGTAAGGAACCATTTGGAATATTGGAAGATAATCATAATATCACGTAATTGGTCTAGGGGTAATTCAGCAATCAGGTAGGCAGACCACGTTTCGAAAAAAATTTTTGTTCATTGCATGTTAAACTTAGTGTGTAGTTTATCGGCTAACAATTTTTCATTATTTAATTACATTTATGCCTTGCAGCTGTCTGTACTTCATGCAACCAGACAGCTTCTTAGATCAATAACACTCAAGATATAGGGGTTGATTCTAACGGGGTTGAGAATCTTCACTAAATAAATTGTATCTGTTTTCACTTTGAATACTTAATCATGTGCAGATAAAATAATCAGGAATTAGCTTTTTTTTATATCATTAATTGAAGTAAATCTTCACTTAATTAATTGCGTGAAGATTCTTAAAGTACTAAAGGCTGGGCATTTTTTACCTTAATATATTCTCTGCATTAAGGTAAAAAAAAACAGTACCTTTTAGACTGCCCTGTCCCCCCACACCTACATGTCACCGCCGCTGGTCCCCGAAACGATCCTCCTTCCTGAACTTCCTTGTTGCTGGGGAGGATACTAAGGGCAAAGGAGGCACAGAGCCATAGGCTCCTCCTACCATAGTCAAACTGTTGGGTGGAGAAGAGGGACGTGGCTTGCAGCATGGCTGTGTGTCTCTATGGATGCACACAACTACTGCAGACAGAGACGGGAACACGCACATATGGGTACCTCCACAGCAGCCACTTAGCTGCTTGAGGCACCGTGCAAAAGGCAGAGGGGGGGGGGGGGGGAGGGCGGGC